AGAACCAGTAATGAATAGCTCTATCGCATTTGGTCATAACAGAGGTCAAACTGGTTGCACGTGAACTTAGTTGTGTAATAAAGAGGGCAATTTGCACAAAACCAGTAACCAACAGGCAGTTGTGTGTGTCAACCCAACACTCTGTGTTGTAAGCCTACGCTGAAAGGCCACTCCAGTGCCTTTTCTGGTACTATTTGGAGATAGAAAAATTTGGGCAAACTCAGGACTAGCACAGGTCTACCTATACTCACTGAGTCTGACTGGATCAAGCACAAAATCCATCAGCAACTATTCTCCAGCTTGTTCTTTCTTAAGCAGGGTGTTGATGTCCTGAACACAAGCTCTAGCTAAGTGACAGTGCAGAATGTGGTTAGAAAACCACTCTTCACCATACAAATGCTTCTGGTTGATTTCTGTGTTATCTGGACTGGTTGGAAGACGAAAGGAGTCACTGGAAACCCTGTCTTCCAGAAATAACAAGATTTTTCGTTCAATGGATAATCTGCTTGAAAGGCAAAAGAGCATTTGTTCTCATTTCATTATTGATAGAAATAAGGGCAGAAACTCACAAGAATGAAGATACTTGCATATGAGACAGTGTTCTTAAAACCTGTAACATAGGATATCACTGGCAAAAAGCAGCAGTAAGCCCCACCTCCAATGCAGAGGGTTAGATCTGGTGTCCCACATAGGAACAGGATTCTATGACAGACAGAGTCATCACATTTGCAGACCTTTTCTAGTGCACATCCGTGTCATCACTGGATGGTAAAGCTTGGTAACATGTACTGGCTCCAAAGCATGCCAAGTGGAAGGCAAACACCAGTCACTATTCCCCTCCAGGCTGAGAAACCTTGGTATACGTCGTTACTGCAAAATAAGATCTTTGCAGTAACTTCCTAGAGGGACACACTCAAAAGGCATAAACTGTCTGGAGGAGGCAAGGTCTATAAATCACTGCCAGTCAGCTTAGGAAAAATGTTGTCATTGCTTCTCTGTGGAGGAGTAAAACGATAAAAGAAATTTCTTTTATGTATAGGTGGCTCAACCATAACACTATTTTAACATCATTTTCTTGTAACACATCTACACACAACTATTTAAACATTGGTTATAAAGTATGTATGGGGTGACTCATCCAGCTGAAGAATAAGCCTAATTGGTCAGACTTCCAGGACACTGTGTGCTGAGCTATAGAGAATCATAATCTCATCTATCAGGAGATGTGACAAGTTGCAGAAGCTATCTAAAATTCCTGGAAGAGGTAGTGTGAAATAAGAACCGTTGCCTAGGGACAGTCTCTTCTTTACGATTAATTAAAGAGCTCAGAACTGTGCTATTCTGGATGGATGAAAAATATGCATGCGTAAGCTTAGATTCTGGCTTTGGCTTGCTCATGCGAGAAAGTTGTCTAATAATTCATTAGCCTCTTCAATAAAAGATACCCAAAAGGCAGAATAAAGGGCATCTGTGGATTTGACTGCCATGTTCATATGGTCCCAAAACTTCCCCCAGAGATCTTCTACAGAGATCTTCTCTTCTGTATAATGCAGCTACGTGACTCAGAAAAAAACCACCCACAAACCAACAACAAACAAGACCAGCTTGGGAAGAGTCTCCTTCTTCCCTGAGAACATTCCCATACCAAGTGACCAGAAGTAGAGGAAAGAAAAGCACTTCGTTGACTGAAACAGGAATGTTAAAAATCCCTCCAGAGAGATTATTAGTGGGTGGGGAGCACAGTCATAAACATGGAGCCCCAGCAGAATTTTTCCACAAGTACCTAGTAAAATGATATTCCCTTTGCCATATTTCTGTTTGAATTGATGATAATTCTACTCTTTGGGTGAAAAATAAAATACAAGACATCTCACTTCATATTCTCCAGGAAACCAAAGCAGTGCAATAGAGGACAGGACAGGACCTCTTGGCTATTTCTTTGCACCCTCTTACTGTCCTGTCTCTTTCCCCAGCATCCGGGTACCGCATACTGAGACTTATTCCTCCTCACACACAGATTAGTAGAGCCATAGTAGCAAAATTTCTCCATTTGAAAACCCTTGAATTCAGGCATTGTTGTGGACTCACACTAGTTGTACATGCATTTCCCATACAGATCCCACATATATAGAGTGCACTAAACCAATGTACACTTGGACAGACTTTTTGCCTTTCCCTCCATAATTTCTCTTTCAGAAATCAGTGGGATCATTTACTTGATTTGCCAGTGTGTAGCTACCAACAACCTGGCTCAAGTATAGATGAACACTTTAATTTTGATCAATGTGTTAGCAAAAAGGTGTGAATGGTATTTCCAACACACCACATACTGGAAGGCTATACAAAGCAACCAGCCAGCAAAAGAAAATACAATGATCTCATTTATATTATCTTTTTTTAAGCTTTTAAAAGCATAGCCAAACTGAGATAATAAAAGTGAAGTATTTACTATTATTTCCTCTTACCAAAAACAAATGTAAAATGATTTCATCAGTACCAGATAATAAGCCTGCTTATAACCAGAGGGCAGTATTTTTAATAACTGCACTAAAAATATGCACTGGTATAAAAATGTGGTGCAATAAAAAAAAAGTACAAAAGGTAATGAAATATTACCTATTATCTCAGCTCATTTTTGTCAGGAAATAATACTACAAACTTAATACGATACATGGAAGCCTTATGAAAAGCAGGCAGGGAGAGGCTTATAGTCTTATCCAGTATTAGACGAGAGGCTGAGTGATTAATAAGTTGACATTGACAAGCGCAGAATGGAAATCATATGGACTTTAGGGAAAGGAAATAGTTTCAAAATGAAACTGTCACACTGCCAGGCTGCACAGGAAGAGGCATAGCTTCCACAGCCATCCCCACCGCGCAGCAAAGGGGAAGGCAGCTTAAACCTCTGTCCGTGCTGTGCACGCAGCTGGAGCCTCCGGTTCGCCCGCGCCTGCTGCTGTGCGGTCCATGTGCCCACATAGGTGAGAGCAATGGGAGAACTGCACCGAAAATAGGGAGGGGAGAGGAAAAAATACATTGCAAGGAGAGGTCTGAATGCAACAGCAAGTTGGCCATTTGAAGAATGGGAAAAATAACATACTCTATAGAAGGAGTTGAGATGAGATTTATCCATAAGAGTGGATGAGCTATATATCCCACTTATGGGCGTCCAGCATACACAGTGAGTACAGATGAGATGTTCTTGATTGCTTGTTTAAATAACAAGGCCAGATCTTTTGATAAGATTAAAACTTGGTCTTACTCTGACGTTAACACGGTTCAGGGCTCCAGGATTAAGTTTTAAATACCCAGTGAAGCACCGCTACTTATAATATCAACAACGCCATTTATGGCGGATCACAAGCCAAGACATCACTTCCAGGAGACTCTACATTTACTGTTGTTTCTCGGGCACATTGTGTCTGGTTCTGATTTGTACATTGCTCACACTGGAAAATGTCTGCTGTGGTTTCCAAGACGGGATTTAACTGTGGCTAATTCACTGTTTGCTTTACTAGTGGTACCAACAGAGAGTCACTATTGGTGGTAAATAGGTACTACACATGCAATAAGACCAGTGAAGAATTCAGTCAAAATCAACAGCGTGTAAGGCCTTGGTAAGTCATTTAGACCAAAACATGTGATGTCCACTGAAAAAAAAACAACAAGAAGCTATAAACATTTATTCACAGACCCCTTAAGAATAATTAAAAGCTTTAAATACCCTGGACAAACGCAACAGAATTGTCCTTCTGAAATATATGTTAGTGAATTTCTGGAAAAAAAAAAAACAGAAAGAGTGCCATTCTGTAGTGCTTCAGAAGAGATCAGCTAAACATTTCTCCTTTCCATAAGTTGAACAAGCCTTACCTTGACGTTTATCACGGATGAATGGTAACATATTTTTCTGGATCACATCCCAATTTTAAAAGTGATAGTTATCTTTTAAAATACTAGAAAATAATTATAATAAACTTTTTTATTTCTTGCAAAAGTAAGAACTGGGCCTAATGAAAGACTATTCAGTTGCTTGAGTCAATTCCTGTTAATTCTCAAGAACGATACCCTTTCACAAAAAATTTGTAAGCCAATTCCCAGCATTGCAAGGAACACAACTATAGCTACGCACTGCATACTCTGTTTTCTACTCAAGTCATTGATATTTCCTCTGACTTTGGAAATGTGAAATCAGATCTCACATTTTTATCACTCCCATGCTCTGTGGTTTAGGAAAAGCACCATATCTTCTCAATGAAAAGGGAGAAAATGCTAGCAGCTACATGCTTGGAGGCTAATTTTAGGAGGAACTGAGCCATTTGATATGTGGCAGTCAACAGGAACTGAGGGCATTCAATAATTCATGAGTTTCTTTCCATGTTTGAGTAGAGCCTGTTGAAAATTTCTCAAGGAAACATTTTTCACCAGAAAATTCCAATTCCTGTGAACCAAAACTGCTTACAGCACAGGATATGCTTGGATACTTGTCCAATATCTCTTTTTTTATCCAGTTTGAAATGGCTTTTAATCTATAATAATATAATTATATAATAAGTAAATGTTTTAAATATCAAGAGTCGTTTGACTACAAGACAAAAGAATATTTAAAAGGCAAAACAAACTGTTTCAATCAATCTTCACTGTGATTTTTTTATTCTTCTTAAACACAAATGTTTGAGAAGAAAAAAGATTCAAACTTGGTTTACTTTCAATTTGTGCTGGGAAATATTTTCATAACTTTTCCTGGGAAAAGGAAATAATTTCCTACTTTAGATCTAGTTATGAAGGTATTTTCATGACTGTCTTAAAAAAAAAAAAAAAGCTTTATATTCATGCAGATAAACCTCTCTCTGACCCTAGTGATGAGTGGAGTGTTAAATTTGTTATGTCTTTACTGTCACTTTGATTCAGTTATTTTAAAATGAATGGCATTTGCATCAGAAGGCAGCAGTATAACCATTTCTTACCTTTAGCCTTTCTGTTACACCATCAGTGAAACTGACTGTGAATTCAGCAATTTTGGGCACTCTGAGTTTTCCTTTGTTCTTCTGGTCAGGCTGGTACTCTGTTCTTGTTTTCACAATTACCTGGAAAATATCAACACTTTTAAGGCTTCTGCACACAGCATACTTTTTTTGTTGTTGTTGTTATCGAAGATTTTCTATATAAACCGTCCCCTGGACCGACACAAGTACCTTAGAATCATAAATTCACACAGACTCATATTCTCAGGAACTGAGAGAGACAGAGAAATAGTCGGGCAGATACACAGACCTAAGACAGTGATCTTATCTCACTGCGTCTTAAAGTAGCTGACAGCAAAGTGCTTGACACCCACTTTTGTTTAGGACTAGGCATATAATTTTTATATCATATTCAACAGGCAAAACACACAGAATAACATCTGCCCATCCTAAAGAAGAGCCTCACTTATTAAAAGCCCCATCCTAACAAGTTCCACTGAAGCCAATTTAAATTTAGGCCATTTGGTGTCTCATTTATTCAGGCTTCAGATTATCAATATTAATCTCATGCTATCACCTTGGGTTTTCCCCAGACAATCTCAGTGTCATCTGCTGACTAATCCAGGTCCTACTAATCTTATAAAACTGAGGTGTCTTACACCAGTGGAGAAGCCGTAAGCGGCTTTTAAAACGATATAGTCAAATTACCAAAATTGCATTGTCAATCTACATTGAATTTATTTGTAATCTAGAATGACCCTAAATATTTTGGGTGAAATGCACCCACTGCAAACACAGGAAAGGTAACACCTAACGCCAGCTGTTCCCAGAGGGGATGAGCATCAAGGCTGTGCTCTGAAACTAACAGCCCTTCAGAGGAGTGAGCGTATCCATCCCATTATACACAAGAATCTTAAAAGACTACCCATCCATGAGCCTATGCAGCTAAATAGTGTCATAAGAGCACGCCAGCGGAGCCACACTATCTTATTCTAGCTGGAAAATGCAAGAGAAAACAAAGCAGCCCAGTCTTCAGCACTGGCCGAGAGCTGGAGCTCATTCCTAGAGAAGGGGGCTGTGGTTGTGAGCATACACTACCCATGTACTTCTGCACAGGGCTCCCAACCCAGGGACGAGGTCCACGAAGCATACAATGGTTTGGCGTGGTTTGTAAGGTTTGGATAGGTTAAACACAAAAAGGATAGAAGGAACATCAAAGCTCTCAATCCCAGGGCCAACACTTCCACTTTTTGACCTCCCGTTCTGAATTGCAGGACTACACAGCCATCAGCCTTGCCAAGGTGAAAATTAAATGCTCCAGGAGTGGTGACTGGTTCATATGAGAGCAACAAGAGTGATCCTAAAGCTCTTTGTTAGGAACAAAAAGTCTTGAAGGATTGAAAAAGATTAAGTGATGCACAAGGTTGAGTTACCAGCTAGTGAAGAACTTATTTCCAAATGAAGATAGCAAAGTCTGGTTTGGACCAGAGAAAACCCCAGCTATTTAATCCTCCTGCACTTAATGCTATGTGAAAATCAGAGTGAGAGAAAATCAGCGAGGAGTCATAAGCCAATTTTCCGGATTCAAATGCAAATCGTTAAAGACTGATGAATATTTACATCCTTCAGCAATTCCCTCTCAATAATATTTATTACAGTAGCATTTGCAACATTAACACTTGGGAAGAAGAGGGGACAAAAAGCCACTCAAATATATTCATATCAGCTTTTTGTAACTCAGGATTTCTGATGACACAACACAGATGATGGGAAATGACCCATGGAGGCAAGATTGATTTTGGCAGGTTTGGGATGAACCCTAACCCTCCTCTGAACCTACTATTGCATCAAACCCCACTGTGCTCTAAAATGCACTCCAGCACGCTGTGGACCAAATAAAGCACAGCCTCCTCTCCAGCCAAAACGAACCGGCCCAGGTTAGCTCTGAGCTACGAGAAAGCAATAACCTCATTTTCTCACTCAAAAGGAGCCAAGTGCACTCAGGACACCATGCAGCTGGCCCCCACCTTTCCAGTCTTCTCCCTGGCCTTTTGTAAACCCAGTACAGTAAATTATGGAGCGTCAGCCATCAACACCGGCCAAACAGTGTTTAGAAATCACACTCATTCTGTTTTCAAACCTACCAGTCACAATATCCAGTTCTCCCAAATTCATGCGTCCTACTTAATACAAATCTTAGTTGAAGACAAAATTTTTTAATATACATGAGGGCTTTTCCACAAACTCTAACATTAGGTCTCAATGAAGGACCATGAAGCCAGAATATGCTAAAAATAAATTAAAAGCCTTACTTGTTTCTAGATGTAATTTAAATTTCTTCCTTTTTTTTTCATTAACGCGAGTTTTCTTATGGGTATTTTTTAACTGTCGTTACATTCAACCTATAAGCAGGAAAGTTTGGATTATGCTGTCTACAGAGATACAGCATGAGACTGAAAATGAGCCCGCACAGCCCTTCACAAGGCATCAGATTCAAGTCCAGTAGCAATGTCTATCCTGTCTGTGAATAAATAAGTAAGCTCAGTGCCCAGCCAGATCAGAAGCTACTTGAAACACAATTTGCTGAGTGTGCCAGCAGTGAAATGTGTGTGTGCGCAGAGCCATAGTCATCCTGCTGGTCAGTGTTTTGCAGAGAAATTTGCAGAGGTATCAAAAAGCTTTAGTAGAGGAGGTAAGAACTACCTTTCCTAAATGCCTTCTGGCATGGCAAAAGCTAAATATCTGCTCTCCAGAAGTATCTTTATCAGACACCTGGTGGAATTACTCAGCAGAAGAAACCCAGGGCAGTCAGTAAGGTCTCCTCTTTAAAGGAGAGCACCAAAATAAAATGACAAAGGGCAAACAGAAAGCTGAAAACCTGTAGTGTGGGGGTAGCATTCAATATTGTGGCAGTAATGATAAAAATGCAATTTTGCTGAGGGCACGGGGTGCACGTTTAGAAGAAAAGAGCTACTTCTTGTTCAGTCCCCTGCAGTCTAAGTAAATAAGCCTGAGCGTGGATCCCACTTTTGCAGCAACGTTCACCCCCTCTCCATCCAACAAGCTGCCATCAGGATGCCCACGCAAAGGCTCCTGGAAATGGAGTTGTGTTCATCACACTCCTTGAGCCTCCTGCTCGAGTGAGACCACCCCAGTCGGGGCTACCTTAGCAGCATCCAGAGACAGGAGTGAATGCTGTCAGATGGTAAAACACGGATACACACGTGCCCCCCACACGCAGTTTTTAGCGCAGCATTTGCTACGCTGACAGCCTCCCATGCATGTGTCAGTTGTGAGTGTCTCTGAAACACGTTTAAACGAGAGCTGGTCAAAACCCAAAAGAACTTTTCTAAAGCACAAAGTGTTAACCCAAGTGCAAATTTAGAAAAGGCATAATTAATCTTATAAAGTTTTTTTTCTATATTTTTAGCATTATTGGGGTTTTGCTGTTTTGGTGGTTTGTTCTGTTTTTATTTTCCAGTTTTCTGATTTGGGTTGGGTGGGAAAGGAGATTTGCTTTCCCCCCGTTCCCTGCCATCACTCCTTTTTCACCTTTTCTTTCCATTTTGTCACTGAGAAAAAATTCCTGGCAGTAAAGTCTTCCAGAAATTCTAACCAAATTGCTGTTGGATGTACAGTAATAAAAACCCCACTGACTCCACAGTCAGTGCAATGATCAGCGTTCATTTATCACCGGCTGCCCCAGAGCAGTTCCATCAGAGCCCGGGGCCCCGCTGTTTCAATGCAAACAAGGTACATTCATCTCACACCACGACAGGTTTCCTGGGAGAGCGACTGGCGTTTATTACAAACTGCAGCAAACAAAATGATCCCCATTCCCTCTTCTTTGTCCGTATTGCAGTTTTGCTGACTTCAGTAGAGTTATTCTTGATTGAAACCGGTGAAAGGGAGTATAACATCGGGGTCCCATGTAGGTTGCAATTCAAAGCAAACTGAAGTGAAAGAAATGCTCAGCTCCTCATTCCCTTCTCTGCATCGTGGTGGCAATGAACTGCTGTAAGTGGGTAACTTCCAGAGCTGGCAGCGCTGCTTGGCTGGGCTCTGGCCTCAGCAGCACAGTCAATAAATGCAAATAATCAAACCAATGCTTACATGGACAAGTAGGCGCTTGAATACTCACAAAAAAGATAATTAGCCCCCTCCCCACCTCCACTGCAGCAACACCATTCTGCCCATTCTCTGCACTTGGCTTTCACCTCCTCCCACGTGCTCCCTAAAGCTTATCTCATACTCCTCATGGCGAGAAGGGTCTGGCTGGTTTAGGTTGACATCCCTAACCATGAGCTTACGGGGGCAGAGATTTTTTATTATTGTTATTATTATTATTATTCCTCTCATGAAGCAACCTGCACACCTGCAAATGAATATTAAAAAGCAAGCACAGTCCCATCAGCTTTTTGGATTGTGCGAGCCTTTGCAATTGCTGGATAAATACTCTTTGAAGTTTTTTGGACACTTGTCAGCCATTGTGTTTCATTATCAAGTCCCTGATTCAGCACCAGCTTAGGTCTGTGCCTCACTTTGTATGTTGTGACCGTTCACCAAAGAAAGCTGCCTCCCTGCCAGCTAAGTCCAGCCTATCTATAGCACTTTAAAACCAGTACTGTGGATGGAGTCTAGAAGAATACTAGCTCGGGGGATCTCCCTGCAAACTGTGTTGCTGCTGTAACCTGTTCTTAAAGTTTTCACGCTATTTCTCAGAGACCCTCCACCTTTAAACTGCAGAGAGACTGTGCTGCTTATGGCAGATGCAACAAAGGGGACACAAATAAATTACCTGGGACTTCCTTTTACATCCAAAATAAAACTGTTCTTTGAAAGTTGCTTCCTAGCTGAAGTTTGCAGGCTGATTGTAAGAACAAAAGAAAAGGCAAACGGGCTTTCATGGAACAGCAAAAAGACATGTTCAATTATGGGAATCAACACAGCCAGTCCTCTCAGCTTCCTCCAAAACTAAGTTTATTTAGCATTTGAACTCATTAACTTCCAATTCAGTGAAGCACTTAAGCATGCAAGTAGTCCTATTAACATCAGCAGGATTAGTCAGATATTTAAAGTTAAGTGTGCATTTAAGCGCTTTGGCCAGATCAGAGCTTAAGCTG